CGGTTTTCCATGCGATCTATTATATAATATGTGTGCGCACAGCAAATGACATTCCATAAATTTAGCCAATGTGCGCTTATGTAAACTCGGTAACATTTTCCACCACATTTCGCTAATTTGGCGAAAAGCTGCTGCCCGCATCAGCGCTATTGGCCATGCATCATGTCAATTTGGTAGGCAACGTTTTTGATTAAACGCGCTTAAAGCCAAAATCTGACAACAGCAGCTGTCGTTGGCAAATGCCCAAAAAGGGTAGAATAGTTGCGTGCTAACGTATGCAACAGGCAGGAGGAGGAAACTTTCTCGACATAATTTGTATATATTCTTGATCTTAATAACGCGCTGATTAGATTTAGTCAGATCTGACAGAAGTTAGACAAATCTTCTCCTCAGATAATATAAAGGCAGATATTTTTCTCTAGCATATACAGCACAAGCTTATTCCTTCTTCTTCTAATATCTTATTTCCTCTTCGTTATATCGATTAATATTCATTTTGAGCAATGTCTTTTTAAACATTAATCTAAAACTCTAAGAGCGAGTTATACAAAACTTGATATGTAGTTTCTCGTATAGGGTATTTAAAATAATTGTTTCACCTTTGGCCAAAATTGAATTATATCTTTTTTTACCTATGTCATACTTAAGCCTTCAATATTTCATATAGAAAGGACAATAAGCATCGAAGTTCATCAGGAAATCATTGCCCATGCATAGAACAGAATAGAAGTATGTTCTGAGTGCAGGGTATACCTTAGTCGTGCACACCCAAACATTCTAATTTGTTGTGTTGTGTGCTGATCGATGGCAAAGTGGCTCAAACAACAACAACAGCGACAAGTTGTGCTTCGGGTTTTCCGCCAGCCGCATCGTTAATTTGCTCAACATGAGCACGCAGCAAATTTTCCATGCATAAACTTAAAATTAGCGCCCAGCAAAAACGCACACACACACACACACACATAGAGCACACACAGAGCTGCTTGCCGGTCTGGTCATAAATTTCATGCCTGCTGATAAACAATAAATTAAGTTCAGCTTCAGCCGAACAGGACACGTATCCTTGCTGTTCCATGGATTTCCCACGCATTTCCACGCCACGCACGCATACGTGCAAAATTCCAAAAAGCTAATTTCGTTCGGTTTTCGTTGCCCGGCCAGGCCAGGCCGGGCAACCCACTTTGGGCATACGCCTCATGTGCTGCGTTTTGGCCAGGGTACAGCTAGGTGCGTCGGCTTTAATATCCTGTAGCCAAAATAAATGGCTAAGAATGAGGGTATATGAAAGTATTGCTAATATGTGTGCAAATCGCAATCGAAATAGTTTATAATACATGAACAAAGACAGAGTGAATTTTATATATCTTTTAGTATATAAGTATATTCATCTGAAGTTTATGTCTTTATTCATCTGTCCGATCTTGGGAGCACAGGATTGTATCCAATCCAAGAAGTCGGACATGCAATATAGATATCCCCAAATGTCAGTTATGCTATGATAAATGTTTGCAGATATAGATATAGATATTGATATAGATATGGATATAGATATAGATATAGATATAGATATAGATATAGATATAGATATAGATATAGATATAGATATAGATATAGATATAGATATAGATATAGATATAGATATAGATATAGATATATATATAGATATAGATATAGATATGGATATAGATATAGATATAGATATGGATATAGATATAGATTTGGATATAGATATAGATATGGATATAGATATAGATATAGATATAGATATGGATATAGATATAGATATAGATATAGATATAGATATGGATATAGATATAGATATAGATATAGATATAGATATAGATATAGATATAGATATAGATATAGATATAGATATAGATATAGATATAGATATAGATATAGATATAGATATAGATATAGATATAGATATAGATGTAGATATAGATATAGATATAGATATAGATATAGATATAGATATAGATATAGATATAGATATAGATATAGATATAGATATAGATATAGATATAGATATAGATATAGATATAGATATAGATATAGATATAGATATAGATATAGATATAGATATAGATATAGATATAGATATAGATATAGATATAGATATAGATATAGATATAGATATAGATATAGATATAGATATAGATATTGATATACATATAGATAAAGATATAGATATAGATATAGATATAGATATATATATATATAGATAAAGTCATCCTATATAGAAATCTGTTCACAACCTAGTTTATTTTCCCCTGAGAGCAGAGTTATATGCAGTCGACTTCAGCGTGCTTTAGAGGTTGCATTAAAGTTTTAAAATACGCTGCTTACAGGGTATCTGCGCGTTGAGCTAGCCTTTCCTTTAGTTTGCCTGGCAAATCAGTCTATACAGTTGCCTCGCTGTCAAAAGTCCTTTCATTTACAGCGACTATATTCATATTCAGGCTCAAGTTGTCCTCTTCTTGTTTTTGTCTTTAAGCGATTTTATCTGCGCTTCAGCTCTTATCTCATGTATCTCATAGATATACTTAGTTTAACCTCGAGATATCAAACAGCAAATTAAATATGCAAATTTGGTGTTCAGCTCTCAGTTTTCAGCTCTCAGTTTTGCTGCATATCTCTTGCAGCGTGGAAATTGCTTTTCTTTTCGTCTCTCCCTCTCCTCTCCCTCTCTCCCTCTCTGGCTTTACTCATTTTTTTTTGGTTCGTTTTTCTTTTCGTGTTGTTTTTAGAATTATCTACACTTTGGATACTTTGCATATTGGCTGAGCGTTTGGTGGGGCACGTACAGCAATGTTGCGGGCGCACATTAAATTTAACTTTGTGTTCGAATTTCGCAGTAAATCGTAAAATTTGTCATGCCCCAAAACTCGTCATAGCCTCCCTTTCCCATTTTTGCGTGCCTCAACGCATGTGGTAAAAGTTTTGCGTATGTTTTGCAGCTGCCTTTTCGCGCGTGTTACCCAAAAAGTTTTCGCTGTCGATTCTCGTTGCGTGCTTTTGCGGCGCGTGCGGAAAAGGAAATGTGCAACAGCAGCCGGTTGGGAAGCGGGGCTGGGGCACAAAAAAACCGTAGCATACTTTTGTGCGCTTTATATATTTCGACTCTTACGACACGTTTGGCGCCCCGCTCGACAACCCGCCTGCAATTCAGTTCAAAGTTCGATAAACTGGTTGCCTTCCTGTCTGTCTCTGTCCTTCTGCCTGCCGCTTGGCTCATTCAATTATTCCAATTCCAGTTGGCTGACTGCGCCGTGTACGCTGATTTCTGCAAAACGCTTTGATGTGCAAAAACTTTGAGACACTGTCTATCCGTCCGACTGTCTCACTCTCTGTGCCTGCCTGCCAGTCCGTCTGTCTGTCTTTATCTCTATCGCGTATTGATGAACTTATTTTAGCAGTTGGCTAAAACAAGATTCGCTTCTGGTCCGGCCTGGGCGCTTATCTGGCCATGTTCCTTCGCCTGACTTTTGGGCTCTGCTCAAAGTTTGGCTGCAAAAACATAGTTAAGAAGCCAAACTGAGAAGTTTTACTTATTTTTTTTCTTTTTGGAGAGCTATTGCCTGGCCATTTGGCTAAGCTGTATTTGCTCCTTTTGATTTCCTGTTATATATAAGCTGCTTCCCCCCCCCTCAAACAGCCTGCCCCGCCCGAACTCGTCGTCATTTCAGCGGCAACCATATTAATTTTCAATTAAATCGCGTTTCATATTGCTTCCGTGCTGCGGTTTGTTTGTTAATGCCGCATTAAATCCTAGCCTCGAGCTCTAAATGCCTGCACACACCAACAGTGATCTAGTCGGCAGAGACCGACTAGGAGATACCCTGAAACCGAGTTACAGTTTCTCTTTCCTTTGACTAAAACTCAGTCTGGGAAATGAGTTCTTGATTAACTTTGTTTTTAAAGTCTTATTCTTATGATTGTTTCAGAGAATAGATATGGCATTTAAATGTGTGTAAATACCTAAGCCCAAGGCTATATCTCCAAATATTCTTACAATTTAGACTTTACAGGGAATGGATATTAAAACACATGAAATATTCTAAATCTTTGAATACTATGGGAGAGTGTATATACGAAATGTGACGTCTCCAGCTCTTATAAACTTCGAGATATGCTCAAAAGAAAAGATATCGATATCGATTTTTATCGATTTCTTAGAAATGGACCAAGAAAATGATATTCTAACACGAAAGTGATCTTTTCTTGCATTAGAAGCATCAACGTCCTAATTTACAGTTCTCTCATCTCCGATGACTTCTTCTGTCTGTTACATACATTTGCACAATATCATTATACCCCTCTTATCCAATTTAAACAGATGCAGGGTATAACAGCAAGAACAACAACAAAGTATGGGCTGAGCAAACATTTAGAGAGAAACAAACATGAGCTGATATAAATAAATTCGCATTTCCAATGAAACGTTAATAATCCATATACAAATCTATATATACGAAAAGGATGCAGGAAATGCTGGGCGGGCAAATCTTCAGTTGGGGCTGCTATATACACACAGATATATGCATACATATATATATATATATATAAGTATATATGTGTATTTGTAAACAAGCGTACAATATGCTAAGGCAAGAGCAAAAATAAAACGGGGAATATAATTGTTTGTTGAAGATTTTTGTGTTTTTCTGTTGAATTTTTATGAGAATTTTATTACTTTTCAGTTTTTGCGAGTGTTTTGTGCGTTGCCTGGCATAGCGCACCCCTCTCTAACACACACACAAACTTACTAACACACACTCACACACACAAATGCACACTCACACACATATGGGAGACTGTACCACATTGTGGCCTGGCATTGGAAGGCCTTTTGCTCGAAACAATACGTATGCACAATGAAAATGAAAATAAATTTCCATTTGGCACAAGTTTTTTTTTATGCTACAGCAATTTCACACTCTCACTGCCCCCTCTCTCACACTTACCCCCTCTCTCTCCATTCTCTCTCTCTCTTGTAGGCTATAGCGCTGCGTTGGCCCCAACACCAGCAACAACAACATTAACAACAACAACAATCTCGCCCTCAAATCTGCTGCCCTATTTCGACTTTGATGTGCCGCGAAACTTGACCGTCACCGTGGGCCAAACGGGCTTCCTGCACTGCCGCGTGGAGCGACTGGGCGATAAGGATGTAAGTATCAAATATAACAATATACATATATACCAAGGGTGGAGTCTATTTTATACATTTGTTGGGGACTGTATCAGAAACGTGTTGCAAATTCTCAGAAAAAAAGTTTAGCGATATTTTTTCCCAGTTTTAGATGCAAGATTGAGCTAGAGGCCAAAACATGAACAAAGAGCCAAACTTAATACAAATCGCTTGAGTTTTAACCGAGTTATGGGGATGGGAAATTTTGTCCAATGTTTATATAGGATATTTGACGTTACCATTTTCACATGGATTTCGACCAAAAATAATGTTGCCAGATTTAGATGCCAGATTGATCTAAGGGTCGAACCATGAAGAAAAAGATAAACCTTATGAAAATCGGATAAGAAATGACCGAGTTATGGGGGTGGGAAATTTTGGCCTATGTCTAAATAGGATATTTGAGGCTACCATTTTCACATGGATTTCGACCAAAAATAATGTTGCCAGATTTAGATGCCAGATTGATCTAAGGGTCAAACCGTGAAGAAAAAGATAAACCTTATGAAAATCGGATAAAAAATGACCGAGTTATGGGGGTGGGAAATTTTGGCCTATGTCTATATAGGATATTTGAGGTTACCATTTTCACTTGAATTTCGACCAAAACTAATGTTGCCAGATTTAGATGCCAGATTGATCTAAGGGTCAAACCATTAAGAAAAAGATAAACCTTATGAAAATCGGATAAGAAATGACCGAGTATTGGGTTGGGTAATTTTGACCAATGTCTATATAGGATATTTGAGGTTACCATTTTCACTTGAATTTCGACCAAAACTAATGTTGCCAGATTTAGATGCCAGATTGATCTAAGGGTCAAACCATTAAGAAAAAGATAAACCTTATGAAAATCGGATAAAAAATAACCGAGTTATGGGGGTGGGAAATTTTGTCCTATGTCTATATAGGCTATTTGAGGTTACCATTTTCACATGGATTTCGACCAAAAATAATGTTGCCAGATTTAGATGCCAGATTGATCTAAGGGTCAAACCGTGAAGAAAAAGCCAAACCTTATTAAAATCCGTTGAATTTTGACCAAGTTATGGGGGTGGGAAATTTTGACCTATGTCTATATAGTGTATTTGAGGTTACCATTTTCACTTGAATTTCGACCAAAAATAATGTTGCCAGATTTAGATGCCAGATTGATCTAAGGGTCAAACCGTGAAGAAAAAGATAAACCTTATGAAAATCGGATAAAAAATGACCGAGTTATGGGGGTGGGAAATTTTGACCTATGTCTATATAAGATATTTGAGGTTACCATTTTCACTTGAATTTCGACCAAAAATAATGTTGCCATATTTAGATGCCAAATTGATCTAAGGCTCAAACCATGAAGAAAAAGCCAAACCTTATTAAAATCCGTTGAATTTTGACCAAGTTATGGGGGTGGGAAATTTCGACCTAGCTCAGCTTCCTAGCTCTTACGGTTTGGGCTCTGCTTTGACCACCAATCAGTCAGTCAGGACAAACAGTTTAATATATAGAGATTTATATAGGCGTACCACAATTTGCAATATCTAATTATTAATCAATTATGAAATATTTGAAGAAGAAAAAAAAATTCTTGCTGCCAAATATCTGAAATTCGATCTGATTTTTCTTAATCTTTTACCCAAGTTCGGAGCATGAAATTTAAGAGTTTTGCTTTATAACTTTTTATGCAGCAGCATTTTTGAAAAAGTATTTTTTTTCCATGAAAAGAAAGTAAAGGAAAGAAAGAAATAAGCGCATGCCAAGGCACAAAGTGTTGCAATGCAAATCCAATAAATGGAAATATGAACTGCTTTGGTAACAAAACAATTCCTTGGAGATTTGCGCTTATAAAAGCTTTGCTGCCCGTTTTTTTTTTCCCCTCTTTTTTTTCCTTAACAGCTAAGACTTTCTAGGAACTACTTGCCTTTGCTTTCAATTTTGGGTTTAGTTGATAACAAAAAAAATATGTATAAAGAGAATGTGAAGAGGCCGTATGGAGCAGTGGGGATTTGAAGCTATTTAGGCTGGCAAATGCTCAATCATTTGGCTTGACGTGAGCCAGTGATTGCCTGAGCCTGGCCAGCAACATTGATTGAAGGTCGCCGTGCTGTTAACCCTTTGCAAAATAGTAATAGCAGCAGCAGGAGCAGTATTGGCCTGTAGGCTACTTCCTAATATGTCAACATCAGCAACAGCAGCAGCAACAGCAGCAGCAGGAGCAAAGCCCACGCAGCGACAGCTTTAGGCGGTCACGAAGGCAAATACGCCCACGAGTGGGACTGGATTTGAAGTGTAGAGGATGGATTTATGCTGGCACTGTAGATGTATATTAAATGCGCAGGACTCGAACCAAATTACTGCCTGATTACTGAAGCTGCACTCGAAGCGAAAAATGTTGCCCACAGTGAAGCGAGCTAACGAGGTCGGGTTGACAACGGGGGTTAGGCGCAGAGCGCTAGAGCTAAGACGAAATGACTAATTTATGAGCCATCAATCACGTGACTGACTAGCAGGCAGGCTGGCTGGCTCGTCCTATCAGGCTTTAATTTGCACCGGCTCATGCCGGAAACGGAAGTTGCGCTGCGTAAAGGAAGCCAGACAAGTGCAGACACGCAGCTTAATCTAAACGCACATCAAATAAAGAAGGAGCAACAAAGTTTAGCTCGTTTAAGACAAGTTCTCCTGGCGAGTTCATTAAAAGCATTGAAAGTACATTAAATAAATGACAGGCAAAAACATTCCGAGAGCATATACATGCATATATATAAAGCCCAGAGAGCCTTGCCCTTGAGCCCTTAATTACAAACTGTCCACGGGGCATTACAGACTACTTAGATTCTTGCCTCCGATTGCTGCTGCTGCGGCTCCTTCTCACAATCGACGTCGACGACGACGTCGGCAGCAGGCGGCATTGCGACATCGCTGCACTTGGAATTGAGCATTGGGGATTTGGGATTTGAACTGGCGCTCACCATGGCCAGTTCGATGGCCGTTTCGGTGCTGTTCGAGGCATTCAATGTTGGCGCCATTTCTGTTTTGTTCGTTTCTGTCAGCGGCTTATCCACAGCAGCTGCAGCTGGAGGAGGAGGAGGAGGAAAAGGTCTGGGCAGCGAGGAGGCGCTGGAGGAGGGCGTCAGGAATTGTGGCTGCGAGGAGCGCGCCTGGACATCCAGCTGATCATGATGCGTAAACATGGATGCCGTTGTCGAGGCAGTGTCTACTGTTAGCTGCTGCTGTTGCTGCTGCTGCACGCGATTTGGATTGGGAAAGGGTCGTCGATTCTCCAAAATGAGCTTAATATCGCGCGCCGATTGCCACCAGCTGGGAGGGGGTAGGAGGAAATTACACTTGAAGTGGACACCAAGAGCAACTACTGCTTACCGATACCAGGGCGTTAGCTGCGACTTGATCAGCATATAGATATTGGCAAAATAGACGGTAATCTGTGGGCGGAAGGGAGCTTCATATTAGAGAGAGAGAGAGAGAGAGAGAGAGAGAGAGAAGGGGACTCGATACAGACCGTCATGAACAAGAAGAACAACATCCAGGACTTGGTCCACAGCTTGCTCAGTCCCCAGGATTGCGTGTGCATCGCATAATACTGTATGCCCACCAGCAGGGTGCCAATTATGCCAAATGCGACCAAAGTCAGCAGCGAGAACATTTGGCAATCCTCCTGCAGGGCGCGCCGGCTCATGGCACGCGAGTACCACAAGCGCAGCGATTGCAGGCAGGTGTAGCTAATGGAGAGACGAGGAAGGGTTGGAAGGGGGACACAGTGAACAAGGGCTGCGCAAATGTGGGGCAATTAGTTAGCTCAAAGCTTTCAGTGATTAAAAAAGTGGCAAAGCCTAAGCCGACTCGACTTCGGCTGATGAAGAGTGTCGACTCTGTCAAGAGAGTTTGCCACACAACTTTGAACTGTTGCCACTTGGCTTGCCCCAAAAGCTCCCTCCCTCTCCCGCTTCCCCCGGCACCCGTTGCAGGGCTTTTATTGCACTTACCGGAGCGTCTGTTCCGTGTTATAATGAAACTGGCACAGCTCACAGATTGTGCAGCGCGAGGTGCTAATCCAGCGCTCCAGGCAATGTACGTGCACATATGTCAGCGAGCCCTTGCACAAGCACGGCGACACGAGTCTGCAAACAGAACAAAAACAAAAACAAAGGCAGGGCGGTTAATAGGGGGGGGTTGTGTTAACAACAATAGCGGGACTTAAATGTGCGGACAGATGGGCAAACAGTTCAACAAGCATCCGGTGCAAACAGCCTGACATTTCCACATATATGCTAGGCTACATATGTTGCGCCTCCGTCCGCATTTTAATAATTTATACAAATAATATTTGCGAGATAAACTACAGATACATAAACTATATAAACCTATATATATATTTATGCAAATATATATATATATATATATATATATGTATGTAATTATGTAATTGTTATGGTGGAGCACATTACGCTAATTTTATTAAAATGTCATGCAATTAATTTTTTGCATTTTGCGGTCGCACGCACAATGTTTATTGTCATTTTGTCTGATACGCTGTAACCGCAGCGCCGCAAGGGGTATATGCAGTTGTGTATCATGTTTTAACTGGCTATAAATTAATTGGAATTCGAGTAGCATAAATTTAGCAAAGGCTAAATAGGGTATATATAGGATATCATAGGTTCTATAAGAATATTCGAATATATTCTATATATACTAAATGAATACATGAATATATGGTATATGCCGGTTAGTTACTTTAACTACAATATTAATTTTCCGTTTTCAATAAGAATTTTATCGGAATTAATCTACATCTACATTAATCTACTAAGAAATCATGTGCCTTTTACAGGGCATTCCCTAGTCGTTTATACCACAACAACAGCTCTGTCGTGCGTTATAATTTAAACGGCATAGATGTGCTTATAGATAGTTATAGGTATGCGATTTATTATCGTACTCACTGTTCGGGATTATCGGCATTGTGGCAAATG